CCGCCTCCTGAGGTTTAAAAGCCGTTCTCCTGCCTCAGCCTCCGCGAGTAGCTGGGACTCAGGTGCCCGCAGAACGAAGCACCTTTTTAGCCCGGCTCAAGCTCTTTTGTGTATTTTTTTTTAGTAGAGGACGGGGTTTCACCGTGTAGCCGGGAGGTTCGATCTCCTGACCTCGTGATCGCCCGTCTCCGCTCCAAGTGCTGGGATTACAGGACTCTGAGCCACCGCGCCGCGGCGCTTACAATTTGATTCTTCATTTGTGATTCATATTCTATTACCAGCTGTTCTCTAAGTCTTAAAATATATTACAACTCCTTTTGTCAATCATGATACTCATAAGTATAAGAACAATATGGTGATAGCTTGCAGTGAGCTGAGATCCGGCCACTGCACTCCAGCCTGGGCCACAGAGCGAGACTCCGTCTCAAAAAAAAAAAAAAAAAACAAAAACAAAAACGAAATCAAATGTAGGCATGCATGTGTTTGTGTATATATATCAGAGTACCCACATAAGTAAACTCTCAGGATGAGTCGCTGTGCTTTTACCAGAAAAAGAAAAGAAAGCTGAATGATTAAACCAATATACATGAGACAAAAACGTGACAAGTTAGACACCAAGATTATAAGGATACTATAGGTGCTAAATTACACCTCTTGATACTGTAGTGAATTCTGTTGACTTCTTATAATTTCAGAGTTGCTTTACTTAATTTCTGGTGGTTTTTCAGTTAACAGTGATTACTAACACCAAAGCTCTAAATTTCTGTGATCTTTTCAGTTAGTTAAAGAGGGGAGTGTGGGTAGACATAACAACATTCAGAGGGCTGTCATTTAAAAATGGGTATTCTAGGCCAGGTATGGTGGCTCACGCCTGTAATCCCAGCACTTTGTGAAGCTGAGGCAGGTGGATCACCTGAGGTCAGGAGTTTGAGACCAGCCTGGCCAACATGGCGAAACCCCATCTCTACTAAAAATACAAAAATTAGCTGGGCATGGTGGCAGGTGCCTGTAATCCCAGCTACTCAGGAAGCTGAGACAGGAGAATCACTTGAACCCGGGAAGCAGAGGTTGCAGTGAGCTGAGATTCTGCCACTGCATTCCAGCCTGGGTAACAGAGTGACTTCATCTCCAAAAAAAAAAAAAGATTAGATCATTCCTAATGCCAACAATGTTTAATAAGAGCTGTAATAAACTTTTAGCAAATGTGGTAAATTACAAATGTGGATTTGTAATTACATCAAATACATTCAATAAATTACATTAAGAGTTGCTTAAATCCAATTACTTCTTTAGTAGAAGGCGATCCACAATACTTGGGATTGAGACATTATCTTTTAAAATGATAGCTGTCAAATAGATATTCAATTAAAAAGACACTTAAAAGATAAGTAGTACTATACAATATTAAACCTTAGAAAGGGTTACCATTTCTACAGCACAATTATAGATGAGTTTCTCTGCAGTCACACTGTTGATTTCATCAATAAACCTCTGTTTGTCAGAGAAGAATCGATTCAGCTTTTCTGTAAGTTTCTTGCACATGGTGATGCAGAACTTATATCGTTCATTCAGATTTTTGACAACTGAAAAAAATTGAGATGGGAACTAATTTTAATTTTCCTCCAGAAATAAAGACACAGTGATATGTATCTTTCTTGCTGATATATAGGGAAGGTGTCATTAGTGATCATTCAAAAAAAGGACCAGAAATAGGATTCTTTCATATGTTATCTCTTTCAATATAAAAAGATTGAGGATAATGCACTTCTGATTTATATCAATTAAACTGCAAAAAGTTAATAACCCAGCATCTTTTCTCTTTAAGAATATTGAAAAATAAAAATAACAGTGAGTACTCATCAGACACTCTCACGGTGTGATGGGAAAGAGCAACTTAAGGACCCCTGGAGTCACACGCTGCCTTCTCCCATACCTTGTTTCACTGCTGTGGATGGGCTCAGTTTCCCGGACTTGATCTGGGCTTTGGCAAGATGCAGAGAAGCCGCAAGCAGCTGTGCTGCTTTCATGTACAACACCAGCTGCTCCACCCGCCTGCACCCAAAAGACAGTAGCAGAGGGTTATCTAGTGAACTAATCTAAGATGTGGCACTCTACACAACAGGTCAACATTAAAATTGCCTTTCTATAAAGCAGTAGCATCCTCTTTGATTTCCTTTTTTTTTTTTTTTGACAGAGTCTTGCTCTGTCCCCCAGGCCGAAGTGTAGTGGCTTGATCTTGGCTTACTGCATCCTCTACTTCCTGGGCTCAAGGGATCCTCCCACCTCAGCCTCCCGTGTACTAACAGCTGGGACCACAGGGGCGCGCCACCATGCCTGGCTAATTTTTGTATTTTTTGTAGAGACAGGGATTTATCATATTGCCCAGGCTGGTCTTGAATCCATGGGCTCACGCAATCCTTCTGCCCTATCCTCCCAAAGTGCTGGAATTACATACAGGCGTGAGCCACTGCGACCAGCCCTCCTTAATTTCTTAATGCACAAGTAAACTCTAGAGGGACAAGGCATAAAGATGTGTGTACTTTGAAAACAACGGATACACTCAGATAAAAATAAATACATTCTATTTACATAAATAGTAAAATTTATGTAATTTTAATGTAATTATCAACAGTATAATTTACAAGGAAAGGCAACACTAAGGTTGTATAATCTCCAGGTCTTGGCTCATATAGTGAAATCTAGTACAATGAAATAATTGAGACTCCTAGCTTTTAGTAGTGAGATACGATCTTCAGTGGATGACAATACCTATGACTTAGACACAAGTTTAGAGAAAGCATGAAAAGTCTGGAAATGAATGACAGGGGGGTACCCACCCCCAGTCTTTGCTCAGCTGACTGATCTGGTCCACCACCACACTCTCCTGGATCTGGTACAAGGACACAGCAGATGTGCACAGCTCAGGGTTTCCTCCCCTCACGGCTGTCAGGTCCAGCACACATTCGGTGAACATCAGCATCACATTCAGATGGCGTAAGGTGTCCGTGTGTTCCCGCTGCAGCAAAGTCAATTTGTCTTAGAAAATTTCAGATTAAAAATAGGTACATACTCATTTCTGTACATAAACCATGGCCACTGATCACATTTTCTATACTTATGAGTATCAGAATGACAAAAGGAGATTGAAATTTTTAAACTTCAGAAAGCTGGTAAGAAAATGAACACAAATGAAATCAAATGTAGGCCGGGCGCGGTGGCTCAAGCCTGTAATCCCAGCACTTTGGGAGGCCGAGACGGGCGGATCACGAGGTCAGGAGATCGAGACGCCATCCTGGCTACCGCGGTGGAAACCCCGTCTGATCTACTAAAAAAATACAAAAAAACTAGCCGGGCAAGGTTGGCGGGCACCTGTAGTCCCGCTACTCGGTGAGGCTGAGGCAGGGAACGGCGTAAAACCCAGGAGGGGAGCTTGCAGTAGGCTTGAGATGACGGCCACTGCATCACAGCTGGGCCACAGATCGCGAGGATACCGTCTCAAAAA